AAAAAAATAGGGTAAAACTACCACAATTTCCTCTCACATGAAGCTCCTGCATTTTGACGAGACCTGGTGTCCAGCTAGTATCTCATTGAGCCTGAAGCAGAACTTGGTAGTCTAAAGCACTAGTGCACTTAGCCAGTAACTAAGTTCCAGGTTAAGCTATTAAGACATTAAACTAGCAATGCTGTCACCTCTTTCTTAGTGGGATCCACGCCTTCTGGAAGTTCATCCACTGTCTTGTTCATCAGCACCTCTCGAGAGTAAATTCCACCACCATTAGGCACGCAGGAAGCGCTGCTGCTGCTGTTGTAGTTGCTGCTATTGCTGTAGCTGTTGCTGTCACTGTGGTTAAAGTGTGATTTATACTCAGAGGAAGCACTTGCCATACTTGAACCAGCCAAGTTGGTCATGCTGATGCTTCTCTTGTTCAGGCTGATGTTGTTCAGGTCCTGCCAAATGGAGGAAAATGGGTCAAGACAAGAAGCTTTGGCAGAGCAAGTTGGGGGTTATCCCAGGACCTTGCTCTCTGTTGGGGTTGAGGGGACTGTTTCTGGCACAAACTATCTGTTGGTCTGTTGCTCCAAAGCAGCAACGAGAAAGTTCGAACTAAAACATTAGTCCAGCACCTCCATTAATGTTACATCTTGATTTAGGCCTGCTAAAAGCGCAGCACAGATGAAAGCCCTTAGAAATAACCGAAGATACTTACGGTAGTCTCATTCTTCTCAAGAGAACAGCAGGGGAAGGTGCATGTGGGAGGACAGAAGGTGAGATTAGATATCTACGATGTCTAAAACTTCTAGATTACCTGCACAGCCCTCCCTGATATACCATCTCTCCTCGCTCAAAGCCCCTGCCACTTCCTTCCAGCCTTCCTCCTGCCCCTGTCCAGGGCAGAACTGATCCTGCGTGACAGTCATGTTTGGGACTGTTGGGACCTTGTTTCCTCTGTGCTTTGTAGGATCTCCCATTGGGCTATGCCCTTCTTGACCAGGGGACCCTTGTCTGGGGTCTCAGGGGCCCCACCACTGCAAACTACTCATACAACACTTAACTGCACACTATTATAGCTGCACACACTTTTATTTGTGTATATACGTGTAGTTTAGAAAGTAGCTGGCCAATCTCCTGCTCACAGATGCCTCTGCACCAGACTGGAAAAGGCCCAGGAGATCTGTGTATATTTATGGGTTATTAATCACATCTCCCTCTGCTTTCCACAGAGGAGCACAGGTCTGATCCTGACAGCCTGAGGTCCCCAAGCCTGCTCGGACCATTATGTCCTCTCTTTTGTGTGAGCAGGCTGGGAGATGCGGTGGTGTTTCAAGGTGTTTCCCACCCATACGTCAAAAAGTAACTCACCACTTTGATCTCGGATATTGCTGACACGTCTCCTAAGCTGTTCTTCATCTCCTCGTAGGATTTGCCATCCTAAACATAAAGAGAACTGTAAAAAGCATGGGCCACCTTTAATTACCATATGCTCCTGTTCTCTAATGGGGTCAGGAGTTCATATGAATTTTAAAGCCCAGAGGTGCCCAGTGAGGGACAGCTGGTGCCTCCTGCAAACTTTACCTCCTGGAATCAGGAGAGTGTGCTAGAATCTGAGTTTTTGCTTGAGAACAAAGAAACAAATGGACTTCAGCCTTTGCACCTGTACAATAACAGGTGAAAACAGGAAGTTGAAAGACTGCAGAGAGCAGAAGGTAAATAAAGATAAAACATGCTGGATTTAAATCTTTTAAATCTTAAATGAATCTTGCAATGAATGAAAATTTGGGATAAAATAATATTCCCTGATTCATTTAGCTAAAGCAACAGATTTTTCAAAGCCTCGGTCCCTGAATTCTTGTAATTTGGTGCCATGTATTACCCACTACCTCTTATTTCCTAAAAAAGGAATGCACTAGATATATTGGCAAAGCCAATGACTGTGTTTTCCTAAGCAGCCAGGAGATGTCAGTTCTTAACAGAATCATCCAACAAAGTTCTCCAACAAGAACAAACAACATAAACACATGGACCGCAGAGCAAACAGATTCAGACCCGAAACTGAGCAATGAACACACACACCAGATGTTTCTGGGATGTCAACAGTTTGGATTGCTTGTCTGTAGTTGCTGAAGCTGCCTACAGGGGATATTTTTCGAGGGACATATTTTATGAGCTTTATCCTTGTTTTTCAGCAGTTCCTCAGAAAAAAAACCCAAGTTTTGACCTTTATTCTAACCATCAACAGTGTTTTAAGGGTCAGTGCTCTGGGAGTTGCTGTCTTATCTGTCCAAATCCTGCTGTCAGGACAAGCTCTCCACTACCACACCAGTTGCAAAGAAAGATGATGCAAACCCAGCTACAGGAAATAAAGTATCTCTGTATGAGATATCCTGCAGTGTGAGTTCCCCTTCACCCCATTGCCCTGGCTGTCCCACCTGCAGGTTCCAGCATGGGACTTCACTCATAGCCCTTTGGACCACCAGAAGACAGGATTGTTTGTGAACTAGCTGAACACTGTTGTTCATAGAAACAAAACAGGAGAGAGAAGGACAATCTCACTGGGGAAAGCTCTGGGAATACACCACCTGGGAGCTGAGCTTTTCCCAATTGCCCATTTTTTTTTTTTTTTTTTTTTTTTTTTTTTTTTTTTAAATTTCAATCGTGCATACCAGTGCCATCGGGTGGTAGGAATTGAGGTGCACAACCTGGCAACATTGCTTCCACCTGGCTGTTTGCTATGAACTGATAGTCTGGGTCTATTAACCCCCAAAGCTCCTCCAGGATTGTCCTTTATTCCCAAAATACTCTGCTGCAGTACCAAGGCCCCAGGCTGCCTGGACCACCTGCAGGAAACTCCTGGGGCAGGTTTCCGTTTTTGTATAGCGAAGAGCTGGTAGTTGTAAATCAGCTTTTGAGAAGAAGGCTTGTATGTAGGCACCAAGGGTGACCTTGCTCAGGAGCTCCTGGGCTCCGATGGGTAGTCAGAAAGCCTGAACACAAGACCTGTCTGCTTGCATCTTTCCCTTAAATCTGGGTCATAAATTTTTCTCTGTGGTTGCATTTTGGAAAATTAATGTTTTATTTCCAAATTTCTGTATGATGTGGGGTGCTTATGTTTTCACTCTGAACTCGATTTTACTACTAGCAGCCCCAAACCATTTTTTTGGCTGAAATCACAAACCTGATTTGGAACCTAATCTTTTTTAGAATAAAAATGTAAATATTGTGAATTCAAGCACGAGTACTTATATTTGCAAAAGCCTCAGCTTCACCAAACAGGTACTTTTTGCTGGCAATGGAGTGGAAGCTGCTCAGAATACCATGAAGCTCAGGACATGTCATAGCAAGATTTCATTCCATGCACCACAGAGGATATGTTCACTGACAGTAACACCCTTTAAGCACCGCTGAGCACGTGTGCACACCACAGGGCTTTTCCAGCAACTTACACTCCATTTGTAGGGGTCCCAAGCGTTGAACCATCCTGTGAAGTTGAGGGGTTCATAACCCTGCTTCACCAGTATTATCGGAGTTGCCAAGTCTCTCCCTGCTGGATGGGTCTTGAGATACTCCTTAGCCGAGGCAATCGACTCAGTCCTCTCATATGTGTTGGAGGCTTTGCCAACCCAAAGGAAAATCTGCAAGGAGAGAAAGTATTGAAGATCAGTAAGTAGTTAGGACCTGTGCAGACACAGCTGTTTGTTCTCCCCTGCCAGCTGGAGCGGAGATAAGACTAGAAATGTTTCCCAATAGTGCCCTGGGATTTTAAACCCAGGTTTACCCCCAGCCAAGAAAGATTTTGCTTTTGAGACAGGCATAAATATTTCAGGGAACAGCTCTTGTACATTTCAAGGTAGCTAAACTCAGTCCTTCGTGGGCCAAAATTCCAGTGGCCTCAGAAAGCAAACCCCCCAAGACAGTTTCTGATAGCCTAAAGCAAGTCACCAACACTGGTGCTGGGAAATGAGGGGGAGGGTTTTTGGGTGCCACCCCCAGTATGAGCTGGCAAAGACTGGAGCAGGTCCAGCTCCTCTCACCTTGGAGCAAGGCACAGACCAGGTATCTCAGTTTCCTCCTCCCTGAAACAGGACTAGCAATACTACCTTGCTCACATGTTTTGTACCTCGGTGGACATATGCCTGACCAAGCATCGTGAAAGGTTTGGGGATGGGACAGAAGGTGTATTGCCCTTGGTTTCACTGAATGATGGATTCAAACCGATTAAGCCATAACCTGTTTGAAAATATGCCTGGGAAGAAGGGATGGGGGAGTCTGTGCTGACCTCTTCCCATGTGTCTAGCAGCATGACATCATCTTCATCCAAGTCTTCCTGGCAGAAGCCCACCACCTCTGTCATGATGAATCGACCTGTCTGGTTGGAGCACTCGAAGAGACGAGGCTGATAGTGTGTGATCTGCTCTTGAAACCTTCCTCATGCAAGGCAGGGAAACAAAAAGCAAGAGAGATAGAAACCCTTTCCTTGTGGTTTACTGTAGGGCCCTGCTGCTTCTTGTCATGACATTGATGGAAGAGGTGAGATCATAGCAATACTCATCTGAGGGCCTAAAATATCAGATCTCAGGGGACTCTCAGACCATTTTAACGATTTTTAAAGGTAACTTTTTCTCCACTCAAAGAGGGCAAAAGCAGAACGCTTCTGTCACTGTGGAGATGAACCTGATGTCAGGTGAAAAACACACCAGACAACTTGGTTGCAAAGGAACCCATCACCTGCCCAGAGAGCTGGAGAAATCCAGGTTGTTCAAAAGCAGATTCAGTTTTGTGAATATTCTGGGGCTGCCCATAAAGCTAATAATGGCTGGAAATGGAGCATGCGGTTCATGTAGCCTTTATGACAAGACAAGGGATGGAATTACTGTGGGGAAAGGAGGATGTAGCACATCATTGTCTGCAGGCTTTGGATCTGCAGCTCTGACTTCACAGAAGGCCTGATCCAAAACCTAGGGAAGAGACATCTCGGTGTGGTTTTGACCAAGTTCTTGGTGATATTCTGACCTCATGCTCCTTTTACTGTTGACAGAGTGTCAAAGTGCTTAATCACCTTCCTGCAGAGTTTTGATCCCTTTCTTAGTGTTGCCTAGCCAAACCCAGAGGAACAAGCAGGTCACTATTACCTCTTTTCACTGGCGTAAGGTGCTTTGCCTCCCAAGGCTTCCCAGAACTCTGCTGGCTCTTGTCCTTCCAAAATGGTGTGCTTGTCCCCTTTGGAAACAATGTCAGCTACCACTTTTGCCATCTCCCTCTCATCTCCGCTGCACCCCTGTGTTCAGGAGATAAGATTGAGATGGAGTTAGGAGCAGACTGGCAAAACATATTTGTGGGCAAAAGCTGGCTTGGTTCTACCCTCCCCTGAAGAGTTTTAGATCTGCTCGAATGCTTTCAAGAGTCCCATCTGATCTGGTGACTCAGAATCCATTTCTAGTCCTTGAAGGGACATTCAGTGCAGCCAATGGCATCTAGAGAAAAACTCATCATCATAGAATGGTTTGGGTTGGAAGGGACCTTTACAGTTCATCTAGTCCAATCTCTGCCGTGGACTGGAACATCTTTCACTAGATCAGGTTGCTCACAGCCCCGACCTACCTGACCCTGAACACCTGAAGTGACTGGGCACCTGCAACTTGTCTGAGCAACCCTTCTTTGGTTTAATCTACCATCTCATCCTGAAACACATGGCTAAAACAGGATAAATGAATATGTGATAATCCTGGCTAATTTCTTATAGCTGGAGAACCTGGGGTGATTTATTCAGTTGAAAACTGTATGAACATCTAAAATGAGGTGAGATGAACCTCACTTCTGCAGAGAGGCCTGTGTTACTGCTGATACTCCACAGATGGAGCCTTCTGGGTGCACCTTCCTCCATTGAAATGAATGCATTGAAATGAAATTAAATACCCAAAGATACACCTCCACAGCTCAATGGAGGGAGGAGACTCAAGCCACACCTCAGCAATTTCGGCTCCCTTTGGCTGCCTCCCCTGGACTCACTGCAGCCTCACCTTCCCGCACCACAGGTAGCAGACTTGTCTGGTTGTCAGCAGGAAGACGTCATTGGAGTTGAGCGAGGAGGCCCGGGGTGGCACTTCTGTGGCCTTTGTGTTCATCTCGTCCGTGCCTCTCACCTGGAAGAGGCGGATCGCTGGCTCGGGTGTGCTTTTCTGAGCCCGGCTCGTGCCGCCCTGCAAGGAAACAGAGGGAAGGATGGTACCGGGAGGTGAGGAGGGCACACAAATCCAGGGTGCAACTGGTTTGAGGAATAAGGCTCTTTGGGTCACAACCTTCCATGCTGCTGCAACGGTGGACCATGGTCCTGCATAGGACAGGTGAGAAAATCCCAATACCTTCTGGTTCCAGGTGAGAATAAAAACCACATCATAACTTTCACATTTCTCTTTGGTTATTCCAAGTCTCGACCAGCTCACATCAAATTCAATGCAAGCAGATTTTAGTGTTTGCAAAGCCTTTGCCATGTAAACTGGGCAAGACGGCTGTACTCAGATTTCCAGTTGCACTCAGATTAGCTGAACATCTGCCATAGCAGTTGTATGGTGGGACCAACACTGAGAGCTGAGGACAAACCCCCTCTTCCCCAGCCATTTGCAATGTCTCCACCACAGATGTTGGCAGCCAAAGCAGTGAGTGAAGTGGGTTAGTAGCTAATGTGCTAATATAATTCAGGCAGGAACAATTCAAATCATGTAACTGTAGGATTTTGGAGGACTCTCTCTAGATAATGGTATCTGTAAATTACAGGACCACTATTGTACTGCTGTAAAATATTTTGGGATTGAACTGGAAAGAACAGCACACATTAACACCGGAGCTTAGGGGTGAACAGCTGAGTCTGGGTCAGTCCAGGACTATGTTTACACTTACAGTGTTCAGACTACCTGGGATGTAGTAGAAATGTTTCACCACTTCCTTCTGCCAGTTTATGCAGTCCTGGCAGGCTCCCTTCCTGAATATTGGCCCATTTTCCTGTACTATTTCTATCACAATTGTCAAGCCTTCATTGGTGCTTGCACCTTCCATCACCCATGTGCACAAAGCCACATTACCTCGTAAATGACTAGCTTGCCCTTGAAGATCGCCAGGAAGTGTGTGGGCTCCTTGCCCATTGTCACGCGCACCTGCACAGCCTCGTCCCCATACTTTTTGTCCAGCTCGATGGCATTGAGGGCACAGGCAGTGATTTCATCCACAGAGGCATGACGACCCTGGGGAAGAAAGAGATACCACGTACAATGTGGTAAGGTGAAGGGTATAAAGTTCTGCGTAATGTAACATCCTGCCCGTCCCAAGCCCCTGTGAGATCAGAGTTAAAACTACAAGGTGTTTAAATTTCACTTTCCTTCTGGTTTCAGAGACATTAGCATCTCATTTTCAAAGCTTCTTTCTGCATTCCAGGGGAGGTAAACATACTTTAAGAAGGAAAACAGAGATATTCATATACTCATATGGCTCCAGGAGCTGAGGCTTTAAGAGATGATCTGAAAGACTGCAAAGTTTGACCTCAGCACTGTAAACCCCATAATCCCTCGCTATTTTGACATTGCTGGCTCTCTGTCTGATGCCAGCCTGGACTCAGAGTGCCCACACTGCCTACAAAGCACAGCTTGGGATATTTGCAGTGGACAACTGATGAGCAAAGAGCATGTGAGTTCTTCTGGATGTCTGGGTTGGGATTATTGCATGTAATTCCTTTCTTCACTTTCAGGCTCCCAGCAGACACTGCACAGTCCCTGCTGTGTTGGTTTGACCTACCTGCCACATGTAGAGGACATAGTGAGGCCTGCCTGATCTCAAGTAGGTGTAGAGGACCAGGTAGCAATCACCCCCATAGAACTGCCCATATGTCTTGGGATTCACTGGCTGCATTTGCAAGTCCTCAATCCTCCACACCTAGTGAAAGAAACAGTGAGCAGCAGTGGAGTCAGCATGAAGACAGAGTGCAGCCCCTTTGCCAGCAGATCACTGAATCACTTGGAAAGATAACCCTTCCTCTCCCCCACTCAGATGCCAGCCTATGTTCCCCCAGCTTGGTGAGGTGCTTGCTGACAAAGTCAGGTCTCTCCAGTTACATGGGCCATTAATGGACTTTCAGCAGTGGGTGGGCCTCAAGGAGGAGCAGCCTCCAGGTCTCTCTCAGGCTCACAGCCCCCGTCTCAGCCAGTTCCAACTTTCATGGGAGGCCACAAGAACAGGAGAGGGGCCTCTGCTCTGTGCAAACAGGGGTGATAACGGACCTAGCTGGGAGCGAACGTGAGAAGGGACTCGACCGTATCAGTCTCATGACTCATGCACAGAGCAGGAGAGGAGTCAGCTTGGTGACTGCTTTGCTCCATGGGCCATGGGATGGAGGAGAAATGGCCCTGAGCTACTGTAACTGCTGCATTAGAGTTTGCAAGCAGTTTGCTCCAGCTTCAGCTGTTCTTCCTTGGGGAGGGTACATGGGCACATCTTCACACCTCCATACAGCTGCTGTGTGTGAAAAGCAGAGATGTTTGGAAACACTCTGGTAACTGCATCATCTGTCAGTGAAAGGAGCTCTCTCACCTCTATCTCCCCAGAGGCATCATCTACCATTCTCTGCTCAGCAGCTAGCTCTGGTCGGGCATGGAGCTGAGTTGTGTCAAACTTCACCTGCTCCACCTTGGCTGCATGCACCAGCAGAATAAAAAAAAATAACCCAATGAATGCACAATAACATACAAATCCTCCGCATCACCCTCATGCACACACACATTATACACGTGAGAAAAACCTGGTCCGCAGCTGCAAGAAACCAGTCTTGTCACCAGTAAGCCAGTGTTGATTTTGGAATATGCAAGAGCTCACACACTCCAGTGTTGATCTGTTACAGGCTGGCGACTGGCCATATAGTACATTCCAGTGAGGACTGGCTGGAAAAAATATTAGTCGTCTCCTGATTGGAAATTCATAATCGTTTTCTGAATCTGTATGTATTTCCCTCCTTTTAAAATGTCACTTTCAGAAATAAAATGGCTACATTTCTCCAGTTCATGATAAAGAGAGGCAGTATTTATGGACAGCACAGACAGAGACATGGGTGGAGAGAAAAGGGAGAACTTTCAAGGGAAAGAGATTTGCAGCTCTCAAGCTATTATTCATAGAGACATTCAGCATCTCTGTCACCATCCCATCATTCATCAACAAGATTTCTCTCTTCAGTATTGTTTACTCTTTGGGGTTAATGCATTGTAATATTCACTTCACCAGCATGATAAATTGAGGCATCATTTACACCCGGTGTAAATACAGAATAATTCTATTGACGTCAGGAGGGTCTTGGGTGGATGCCAGTGTAAACCAAAGCAGAATGTTGTTCAACGCTTCCTCATCAGGTTCAGCATTTACATGATTCAGAATTCAGGAACTGAACAACATTCACATCCTTTGCATCTACTGAGGAAGGTGTAAAATACAAAGCATGAGAAGAAAGTGCACTAGATTTTCAAGATACTGAAGGCAGGAGACAGTTAATGTGAATGGCATTCCCTCAGTTGTTGCTTAGCACAGGTAGGACAGCCAAATCCGGGATGAACGTGCTCACCAATTTTGCCAGTAGTATAGACTTTGCCCAGTCCTTGTGTTTCATTCTTTTCTGTCCACCTCTGGAAGAGCTGTTTAAACATGGCTGACTCTGCTCCATCATTGATCACTTCAACGTTGGTGGATGAAGGATAGCCTTTGGCTTGGATAAAACCCTAGTGGGTTGTAAAAGGACATCAGTGGGGACACAACAAGCTTTTTACAGACATGAGAAGAGGGATGTGGACCTGAACCAGCCCAGAGAATGAACATCCCCCACTGAACACAGTGGCATGACCAAGGGCAGGATTCACCTCAAGACTTGCATTCAGACTTGTAAACAGAAGGTTCTACAAGCTCTTACTGTAGTATTCATGTTTACTAGGGGACTGAACCCTACCCCTAGAGGCTGGTCACCTGGATCACATCCTAAACTTAATTTGCACATGGCACCTTAGTCTTGAAGAAAATCTCACTCAATGTGTCTAATAAAAAGCCTGTCTCAGCTCCATAGATGGCTTCTTTTGATGGATCTAGGAGTGGAGGGAGCAGTGACAGGGCACGCCCATGACCCAAGAGCCCAGTTCAGTTTTTTGCTTCTCTCCAAACTTTTTGTTCCTCTCTAAAGCAGGGAGACTGTCCTCCCTGTAGCATGACAGAGAGCGTGCATGCCGAGGCAGTGAAGGGATGGAGGCAGCTAAGTAACTCAGAGCATGATGCATGTTCTAAAGAGACTAAACTCTTACAAATCTCCATCATTTTTCTTGGGTTTTTTTCTAAAACCAAATTATTTCTTTGCAATGGAGCCACTACTGAGTTAAAAGACTACTTCAACAGAAGTGCTCGATACAGTATGAGAGGGAAGAAAATTATCTGTGTTCTGCCACAATGCCAAAGTCATTGCTCAGTTTTTGGGAACTGCTCTCGTGTTTATCTCGGCAGGCTCCAGGATGACCTGGAGGTATAATGCTGACAGCCGTGGTTCAGGGAAGGAGCCTGATTGTGGGCTTCTAAGCATTTATCTTCTGCTGTAAATACTGCAGCCACACACTAACCCCAGGGAAAAGCAGAGCAGATGGTCTTCCCATCCCTCCCACCTGCCACACTGAAAGAAAGAGATATCTTTTGTTCTACATGTGTAGCTCAGGGCCAGAATTTGCAGAGCAGATTGCCTACTAAAAAGCATTCAAGTTAAGCTTCTGAAAGGAGATGGAGGACTTCGAGGTAAGTTCTGAGGCAAAGTCTGTCTAAGCTTTTCTTCTCCAAGACAATAGTGCAATTGGTATTGAAGCTGGGTGTTTCCAGTTAAGACCTTACTGAAGGTGGAGCCACTGAAGTTCAGTACCTCCTAATAAGATCTCATTGAAGATGAGACTGTTTATGGTCTTCACATAAGTGAATAGATGAATTAAAAGCAAATGCCTTACTCACTCAGGCTCCCTTGAGGCTAACCTTTGAAAGGAAGTGTTGAGGCATGCTCTGCCAGAAAATAACTTCATGGCAGCTCATCTAGAGGAGCAGCATAGGTGCCAGGGCACTCTGCTGCTGTGCTCTACCTTAACATGAGCCCTGGTCTTGCCTCAGGTTGGCCAATCTGACTTAATAGCAGTTAATAACACATCTCTCTTCTCCCAGTGGAAGAGTACTGTATCATCTTCAAATTCACATGCAGAACCTGGGCCCAGACCCACTGGTGTTGTGAAAAAGACTTGTTGCCTGTAATGGACCTGCAGTAGAGGCCTGTAGCACCTACATAAAAGGTCTGTCTTTTACAGAGAGCCCATGTAATTGAGTTCCTCACTGACTTGCCCAAGGTGTTACTCTTGGTTGAGAACACAAGAGATGCCTTTCAGGTTAAGAGCAGTGCTCTGTGCTGCCTGGGACAGTGACATTAAGAGATGCTATTTAGTAACCACACATGAGCTTGGTGGCTGTTTTCAGTGTGATCCCTTCACTCTCCCCAGCATCCACAATATTGGGTCATAGATGTTAGAGAGGATATTAGAGCCCCTATAATATCTGATTATGGGCCTGTTGATCATGAATTTGTCTAATCCCATCTAGACCCTGCTGATACTCTCTGCCTCCACCACCTCTTGAATCAACAAATTCCAGAAGTCCCCCATTTACTGTGTAACAAAGTATTTTCTTTTTTACTTTATTTTTTTAAATGAATTTATTCTCAGTTTTAGTGGCAGTTCTTAGTTCTAGTGCAATTTGGTGACTAACAATTTTGTCATCATGCCTCCCTTAGACATTTAACTTCTCTGTCTGTTATTACACAGGCCAGCTCCTCAAGACCTACACTTAATTGTAATTAGTGGTCAGATCTAGATTAGCACTTAGTTAACCTCCCACAACATTGTTTGCACTATATTACAACTCACCACAGCTCGAGTGAAGGCTGCTTTTTTCTCTTCCAGGCTGGAGGCTTTTCCTCTCCAGACATAAATCTTGAAACCACCTTGGTCTAAAATGTAGCAGTCCTGAGATAAAACAGAAAAAACAGATGTAAAAAGTTCTGCGCAGGCAAAGGTTCTCATTTGTAGCCTATTCAGGTTGGATCCTTCTTGAACATTTAGATTAGATGTAGATCTAACTTATTTCCTTGCAGAGGCAACAGAGGATGGATTTATTGTGGTTCATAAATGAACTACAAATACATGTATCAATGCTACACTGCAAGGGTTCATGGGTACGCTGACTTTGGGAGCACACCTGAGCCAGGCAGCTGCCCTTTAATGAGTTAAGATATGTATTTTTCTTAGGCTTTGCTCAAAACCGGTCATTACCATCTCATGAGAGATGTTCCCAAACCAAGAGAAACACCAGCTCCAAAATGCTCCAGAGTTGTACGCTGAAATATCATCCTCAGCCTGCTGTCCTTCAGCACTGCTGATGGTGGTGCTCATTTATGCAAAATCTGCTACCGAAGGAGCAGGAAAAGTCCAAGTTAGACATTTTCTGCATGACTACTCTGTGTCCCCAATCTGGAGCTAAAAGTGTTGCATCGTTGTGAACGCAGCAGGATCCTGAACCCAAAGGGGATGAGATGGCTGCCAAGCAGCCTGTTTCCACTGCAGAGAGCTGGTGCTCCAAACTGACAAACCAGTGTGTGATCAAAGACCTCTTGGTTTTCAAACTGAACTTTGACAAGAAAAGCAAAAGCCTCATATGCTTGTAAAAGGAGACTGGGATTTAACAAGGCTGATACCAGGGTGAATAAGGGAGCTGGAATCTTGCAGCACAACACTTTTGGAATAGGCTGTTTTGCACTGCAGAGAATTAAGGATGAGCAATTCTCTGCCAAATTTTAGCCAGAAGAATATTAGGAAGGCCTCTGTTTTCTGAAAGCCTTGTGGACAGAGGGTCTGTAAGGGATCTCCTTCCAGGGTGGGTCACTGAGACCAGCCACTTGCTACAGCAGGAAAACATATCTTCATGATTTTGTAAGCAGAGTATTTACTTGCTCTGAGCTCTGCAGATGGAGGACTATCTACAAGCATCAGGCATTAAGAAGCCTGATTTCCATCTGGAATTTATTTCTAGCCTGCAGCTCTCCTTGACTCTGATTGCCAAGCTAATATCATCCTTGGCTGAGAGGGTCAATTTGCCATCTCTCATTGGAGCAGCTTCAACGCACCACCTACCTCTGGCCACTGAGGTTGTAGTAGGGCTAAACTGTTCTGTTTTCAGAGGACACCTGATAAACCTGAATGATGGAAGGGCTGATAATTTTCAGAAAACATGGTATCCCATTGAAACAGATGCTCAGCTGAAAATAAAGCCAGCCACAGCATCCTTTCCGCTCTGTAACGGCTGATGGCTTTCTCTCACCTCATGTTGGAGCAGATCCTGCGTCAGGGGCCGGGTGGCTATCTCCTGTACCACCAGGTCATTGTCCTTCTCATAAACGCTGAAAGACAGAGTCACCGAGCAGTCAGGCTTCACAGAGTTTGCCATGAGTAAGGATAGAGTTTGGAGCCCATCCCTGCACTTACTGGTAGAGCCGGACATTTGCTTTTTGCAGCTCATCCGCTTTCTCATCCGGGATGGCGTCTCGGAGCTCCCCGCGCCTCTCACCCAGCACCATCTTCATGATCTGCATGAGGTCTGGGGAGTCTTTCTCGTTGTCAATGATGCCGATCTGGGCGCGTCCGCCTCTTTCGCTGTCCCTGATGCTGCGAGCCAGTGCAAGACCCTGCACAAGGATCAGCAGGGGGTAAGTCCTGATCCAGACAACAAATTCAGCATGACTCAGACCTAGGACAATGACTGAGCACCAGTAGTCCAAGCCAGATTACCACAGTTCTCTGAGGCTTCTAGTGCCCTCCTAATTTAGCTATTAAAAAGGGGATGTGTGTATAATGCCTGCTTATTAACTAACTCTGAGGAAAATACTGCTTATTACAGCCACTCCTGGTGCTTGCTCCTGCAGGGCACAGGCGTGCGGTAGCCACAGCAGGTGTTGCCCCTGTGTGACTGTACATAAGCAGGGTCCAATGATCTTGTGAAATGGTCTGGGAGAGATATGCACGCATGCTGAGGACAATGAGGCTGGATGATGCAGAGCTGCAGGACCCTGGGTGCCCCATGGTGACATTTTACATTCAGTGATTCGAGTATTCAAAAAACGTGGATGTTTTCTGTGAAAAAAAAGCAGTATGAAATGCCAAGCAACTAATTAGCCTGAAATCTACATTTTCCATTGAGTTATTTTTTTCCATGACTCTTACCGCAATAGCTTTGAAAGGGGCCCCTCTTTGTTAGACCAAGGAAATGACCTACTTGATTGCCAGGCCTGAGATGAACCACGGCCTGTTCTTCACAGCAGCCATCTCTCTACCTGCTACCCCTCCTCTTTGTCCTGATTGTTTCTTTGTCTCTTCTCCACTCTCCATTGGATCTTCACCTCTAGTCATTGTGTCCTGGAAAACTGCCTTCCCTGTGAAGCTTCCCCCTTTCCTGGCTCATCAGGTGACACCATGTGAAGAGCAGACCTGCCTGCCTTTTAATGTGTATAATCACTGCCTATGAATTTGACCACCAACTTTGCTGATGACCAATTGATATATCTTGCTTTATTACACCTCTGTACCTCAGTTTCTTTATCAGTAAAATAAGGATAGTGACCCTTTTACAAAGTGCTTTAAGAGCTATGGATTTGACCTATCAACACCTGGATTATGTATTCCTACTTGCTTCATACCAACCAAGCTGGAATTCCTTGTGATGTTTTTTTTTTTTTTAACAGCATCTACCTCTGTGGTAGTTACTGCAGCTAAACCTACTGGTGTTGTTGACTTTTTAGTTCTATGATGTCACGAAAACTATAGGGCACAGAGGGATGGAGATGGACTACCCCAGAAGGAGCTGGGTGCCACAGCTCCAGAACAGGGTGACGTGCCCATGGTTGCCTGTGAAAGACAGACTGAAGCCAGGTCTGAAGTGGAGCAAAGCATTTCCCTGGGCATCTGGTACCAGCAGATGGGCAAGGAGAAGATTTACCATGATTTTCTCTGCTCATCTCTGTGTTGTTGGTTTTACTGAGATTTTCACTGTACAAACACTGAGTGCTGTTTCTCTATTTTTTTTTCCTGGCATCAAAAAATACTGCTAGTAAACTAAGTGGCTTTTGCATTTACTCACCCTGGTTCTCTCAGCAATGCTGCAGTTGGGTCCATTCCACTGAATCAGCACTTTCCCAAGGTCCAGCAAGAAAACATCACCCTTATTGAAACTGTCCCAGGAAAGTGCTACCTGTCACGAGGAAATGAAAGCGTTCGGCAAACCGGGGAAGACAATAAGAGCTGCAGAAGACAAGTCACAGCCACTGCAACCTTGTCTTTAGAGATGTAACAACTGGTCTGCAATGACATGCTCGTTTTTCTAGCACTCAGCTATTCACTGAGTCCAATGGCTTCTCTCATGATAATATCAGACCCCCAAGTGAGGTCTTGAAAATTGTCCGGTAGTAGGGGTCCTTGAGCAGAGATGAACTATCTAGCAGGAAAATCTGGTCAAAAATAGGTGTAGGAAGAGAGGCAAGGAGAAATGATCCCTAAGGAGAGATGTCTCTTCTTACCTCAGTGGCTGATACATGCTTTTTCCCCTTGACATGAAGAAGACGCTTGATGTTGTACATATTGGTTTCCACATGCTTAAATCCTGAAGCTACTCCTCCCTTCTTGTAGCTGTTATGTAGCAGGGAATAAATAGTTAGAGCTGATTAGAAAATACCTTCCTCACCTCCATCCTCTGACAACAAAAAATCTAGAGCCAATATAATTTCAAAGGGCTAGAAATGGAATGCCAAATGCTGTGTTGCCTCACTACTGTTCATGGTCCCTGGTCACACCATGACTATTCATGCTCTCCATCCACCTGTTACGGGTGTTGTGTTGCTGTTGTGCATCTTGGGAGAAGGTGTATAGACGAACAGATAGGTCAGGGACGACAACAGAAATATAACACAACCAAACTGAAGATCCCATCAACCATGGCAGTGGCATCTCAGAAATTAAATATTCTATAAACTTCAATTAAAAAATGAAACAGATTTTGCAGAAAACAGACATTTTGCTAAAAATTGGTTTTCTTCAAAATAGTTATTCTATTAAAAGTAGCTTAGATGATAGGAAATTGTTGCTATATGTAGAACAAAATGTTATCGTAAACAGGTACAAGACACTGTCTTTCTCACAGATTTAACCTACTAATTTTGTTCTTCTATCTCTGAACACACACTTTGCAATAGCTGCTGTTAGCACTTCATTGACTCACTGCATGATGCCATCTCCTCCTTTCCCTGCAACTTTGCAAGGAAGACACAATAACATCATGAGAGGACACATGGAAGTCCCACAGCCCTTCTACTGGTTTTTGGACAAAGCTAACCCACTTCCACATATCCTAGAAAATTTTAGAAAACAGATCCAGTGTTCGTACTGTAGTAATGATTGACACAATATAATTGCCACTTATGGGGAAAAAGAGGCAATTACTGAGAGTCTTATAGATTTTGACACATGGGTAATATATATATTTTATCATAGCTTGGAAGAGTTTTGCAAAATGCGGTCAGGTGTGTGAGTGATTCACAGTACTTCAGACATCCACAGAAGGATGCACTGGTGATTAGTCCACCTGCTAAGATGTGGAAAGGGCCTGCTTTAACTTCTCATTCTGCCTCAGACTTCCCGCTTGACCTTAGAGATGTGGCTTAGACCAAGATGAAGTCTAACTCATACTGATTTCAGAGGCAGGTGTTTCCAAATAGACTTCTAAACCACATGTTTTTGAAAGCCTGAACTTTAGTACTTCATTGCCCCTTACTCATCTTTAAGATGAGGATAAAAGCACTCCTGTCTCACAGAAGTCCTGAGGAAACTCATGAGAGGTTGTAGAGAGGCATAATACAGAGGTATCAAAACCTAGCCTAGGCTAGAGGGTATTAACTGAGGATGACTTTTCATCTGAGTTTTCTTCAGCTGCTTACAAGCAAGGCACTCAGGCTGTTTATTGCCAGTGAAGGTCCTCCTGGAGTATGGCTGTTGGAAGTCACCTTCCAAAGACCCCAAAGAGAGCGAAGACCACAGGATTGGATTCAACAGTATCTTCTAGATGGCAGAAGTTCAGAGTCAAACTTTCCTTCCACTACAGGAATACTACTCCCAGTGTGAGCCAAAACATCACTTCTCTTCAAGGTGGATATTAGTTTGAAGTGCTCTGAATGGGCATATTAACCTAAAGTGTGTGAAGGAGAGGAAGGAATACTCTGGGGTGAACAAAAGGAAGGTTAAAATGCAATTACAGCAAACATCTGTGAAAATGATCAGTAGAACAGAATGCCATGGTTCCAGACTCAGTGCTTACAACTCATTTTTTCAAAATAGGAAATGATAATACTGAATTTTGACCAACTTTGGTGCCAGTCCATATTGTTCAGGTTTGTGAAATGCTTATGGTTCTGAGATGTAGAGAAGCAGAGGGAAACCCAGGGTCCATGTCCCACCTCATTGCAGGGTATTTTATGCTACTCACATAATGCCATTGCGGAAATAGCTTTGGAAGGTCTCAGACTCATGCCCCTGCACTTCCCGGTGCTGCACAGGGTTCCCCCTGAGTGCGTTGTCCAGTTGGGTGACGTACAGGGCTGCAGCACCTTGTTCATCCTGAGATGAATCCTTGCCAATCCAGTAATGCAAATCTACAGCGGAGCCACGAGAGGTTCTTTTGGTCTGGAAGAGGCGGGAAAGGCGAGTCAGGATGAAGACACAGCCCATATGTGTGTTTCAAACAATATCACTGTCCAGGAAGACCTGTCAAAACCAAGTGACCATGGAGCCCTTTCCCAGGGCCTTTCCCAGTTCTGCCTTTCTTCTGGGCAAGGGGAGAATGGATGGAGCCTTAGGATGCTCCCTGGGAGCTCAGCTTGGAGCCAGGGACCTGATTTGGGAGAGCATTTATGTAGCTTATGTACATATTGCACCAAAGCATGCTTGTGTCTTATGTGCTTTTATAACTCTCATTATCAAAGAAAACATCATGTGTGCAATTACAAAAATTAATGTGTTCAACCTGTCCTACTTTTGTAGAGTTTGATATTAAAACTTAAGGGAGACTAGGGAAGTGATTGTCCCCCTGTATTAGGCACTTGGTGAGGCCGCACCTCGATTCCTGTGTTCAGTTTTGGGCCCCTCACAACAAGAAAGACATTTTGGTGCTGGAGTGTGTCCAGAGAAAAGCAATGCAGCTGGTGAAGGTTCTAGAGCATGTGTCTTACGAGAGGCAGCTGAGGGAACTGGGGTTGTTTAGCCTGGAGAAAAGGAGGCTGAGGGGAGACGTTATGGCTCTCTACAACTACCTGAAAGGAGGTTGCAGAGAGGTGGGTGTAAGTCTCTTCTCCCAAGTAACAACTGACAGGACAAGAGGAAATGGCCTCAAGTTGTGCCAGAGGAGGTTTAGATGGATATTAGGAAAAATTTCTTCACAAAGGGGTGGTCAAGCATTGGAACAGGCTGTCCAGGGAAGTGGTTGAGTCACCATCTCTGGAGGTATTTAAAAGATGTGTAGATGTGGCACTTAGGGACATGCTTTAGTGGCAGACTTGTAATTGCTAGGTTAACGGTTGGACTTGATGATTTTAAAGGTCTTTTCCAACCTAAATGACTCTATGATTCATAGATCACCTTTTTAAAGGCAATGTACACTGGTATTTATTTGCCTGGAGATACTATCCTTTCTTTCCTGTTCTCTTATATCACACCACGTAGTAACACAAACTGCCTCTGAATTCCTGCTGACTTGCAAAACAGACATAACTCCAAATGGAGCTGAGACTGCGTGTGCATGCTGTGATTCATCTTATTAGAGAAAAAACCCAATAGCCTAGAAAGATGAGGTAAGCGATCTGAAAACAGGTGTGCTTATTGTTATGTGAGTTGTGCTAGTTATTTTTCAGCACCTACTGTGTTAAATCCTATCATGGACACCTGGGAAAGGTAATAAAAGCTCATTTTATAAACTGGATTTGACACTAAGCTCTATTTATTTGCTTTGTGCAGTGATACCACTGAGAAACACACTACAAGAACTTGAATAAACTACAGCTCAGTCCCTCTAGGCACAGCTAATTAATTTGTTGTAAAATCGCTCAATTTAACACAGTTATTGAAGATGATCAAAGTCCCATTGTCCTGTGGACTATCTTTTTTTGGAGACCCTCCAGTCAAGATGCAGAATGCAAAGATGAGTATTTTCATTCTCCTGTCTGCAGGGGGAAAGGAGAGCTGTGGTCTGATTAAGGACTTTCCTACCTGGGGAAGCTATTGCAACATAAGCTGAGCTTGTGAGCATCAAAAATCTATATTGATATCTATAGTCAGCTCCTTGCAAGGACACTCACATGATCTAAGCATGTCTTTCGGTAGCTGCTAGCAAACTGATCCAGCACTCAAAAGGTAGCATAAAGCATGTGCATGGTAAATTAGATGAGGAGACTCATTCTGCATTGTTACCCCAGCCTGCTATCCTAGTCTGACATATTGTGGATGTGCCTTTTGTTCTTGTGGGATAGTGGAGGCTTTGCTATCTCTTGACTGACAGATGTTTGCAGGAGGGACACTCAGACCCAGGAAGTGGGAAATGCTTCTGGTTTCCACCATATGGACACTGCTTGATGCAATGGGGTTTGGATTGCTCAAAACAGATGAAGAGATTTGGAAGGAAGTCTGGGAGTTGAGTGCAACACATTATCCTCCCACAGAGCTTCAGGAACACAAGGTACTTTGCGCAGCTCATATAATAGAGTCAGTTCTCAGAAGTTCCTCATGCTTCTGGCTAGTCTGGGTTCAGTTGGTTGCAAGCAGGTCTGGACCAGATTGGGGAGGGACAGATGAAGTGTCCTAATGGGGACATGAGAAGGGCTGCAGAACCTCTCTGTGTGACACAGAGTAGGTGGCACACATCCATAACCCACATCATCTGCTGAAAATGAGACCCTCCGGTCAGATAACTCTCACTGCCCCCAGAAGACTCCCATAAGCCATGCAAATGTGGGCTTTGGTATTGTTTGCCAGGAATGTACTGGCCATTTTGCCATGTCTGGACATAACTTAGTTGATTAGAAGATAAATAACTTTAATGAATTAATAAGTTAATGGTTCCTCTGGACTTCTGATTACTAAACACACAGTGTTGCTGCAACAGCCCCATTGAATTCAGATGTGTGATTAGATGGTGAACACACATGCACAACCACTTTTACCCATAGTGCTGCTCTCACCAGTGAGGGTACCTAGGACCCAAGTCAGAGCTAAACAAAAAAGGTTGAACCAGTTGCCCACCAAAGAGACCAGTGTTTGCTAGCCTTACTTACATGCAGAATTATGTAACAGTCTCCTTCAAAGAAAGTCCCATAAGCCTTTTCAGGTACAGGAACCATCTTCATATTCTGTAAGGAAATGAGTGTTTGGGTCATTGGTAGAACTTCAGAGCCAGAAGTTGATTTACGTGAAACAGGACGGCTAGTGTCACAAACTCTATGGTGACAATCAGGGTTTGGAGAAGGAAGAATCAGGGGTGTGCTTGTGAGCTGGGAAAAGCCACTTCTGGAAAAAATCCCAAAAGTACTAAAGGGGTGAAAAGGGTCAACTGATAATGGTGTTTAGACAGACTGACAAGTAGTTCTCAGTCTCCTGCCCTTTTGCAACCCTGTAGGTCTAGAGCAAGAAGACCTGGAGGTCAGGCTGAAGTGCTCCAGAGCTTGCATTTGTAGGGAATTTCCCAGGAGAGTGAGCACATCTCATCCTAGTTTTAGTTTTGGGGCATTGTTTTTACTCAGTACCCATTAAGTTCAAGGATAACTTTCAGAGCTTTGCTAGGATAACCACTTTGCCAGGAATTCACAGCAACTAGCAGTGCTTAGAAAAGACAGACTTGAGGACACTGATGTGTCCCTCACCCCTCCAGACCCTAATGGCACACGTCATCTGGTACAAGTGCACAATTAACCAGATATGCCTGCCCAGTGTAGGTGTCTGGATGTGTCACCCACCAGTACATGTGCAGCTCCTGGGTTTCCTGGAATTAGAGACATACATTCTTCTGGTGGCCTGACTTGTTTCCCAGCATACCAGCTTGACCGTTGTGAACTGACACATCTCTAATTACAGATTCTTTAGGAAGAAGCTTAGTATAGTGCTTTGGAGAGAAATGGAAAGGCAAAGACCCTGTGATATTTGGAACACAGCTGGGACCTGTGGAGTGCCACCACCACTTGGAGACAGGCGCTGGAGCCCCTTCCCACTGCTCCCCTGAGAGGACTGTGCACCTCAGTCTATGCCCCCTCTCATTGCAAGGGAATGTTGCTGTAGAATTTGGCCGGTAAAGGCAGAATTGAGCACAGTCTGGCTCCAATCCTAAACAAAATACCACCTCAAGCAGAAGGTGACCTAGCAGGATGCAGTATTCCTCCTTGCAGTGCCCCATTGATCAGAGTAGAAAAGACAAGAATGAAGTGCAAATAGACTCCATGGGATGCCTTTGCTGCAAAAATGGGTGCCTTCCCCATGACAGCTGCTGGTATGGGCTATGGTTACCTATGCATAACTTCTCTTCTTGGTGAAACAGGGAATTAAGTTCTGGTGTGCTAAAGCAGCTTTGCATTGGTTCCTGAAGAGGATGAGAAAGCCTCCAGTGCTGGAGGTACAGCTTAAGTCCCACCACATTCACGTTTCCTTGGTCAATATTATCCCTGTCTTACAGAGCAGGAAACCAAAGAAATAACATGTTGAAAGTTGCATAGGCAGATATTGGGTCTCTTGTTTGCCACTGTATTTTATCTATAAGACCCTCTTTTCTCACCCAGATTACTTCAGGAATATCTCTTTCCTGAACATATGCACACACACATGCGCAGAGGACATACACCATCATTGCCTCTTGTCATACCTCTATGCCCCATATCTGCAGTCCCAGCTTTCTTTCAATAGTTGGGAGATTCATGTCACCGTCTGCCATCCTTCAGTCTGAGCTAGAAGGGAAAGGAGGAAGAAAAAACCAAAACAGATACATAATTAGATACAACAGTAAGCGTGCTAGTCATGATGGTTCCTTTTACTGTCAGTGGAGGTTTAATATAGAAAATCCACACCTTGAAGTGTCTCTATCTCTCTGATGATTATGAAGAAAGCACACCTGCAGTTATCAACGGTTAGGTGGGATGAACCCCCATTCCCAGGCTATCCATGCTCATGGGGGGTTCAAGCAAAGTGTGGGATCACAGCCTAGAAAAGACTGGATAGGATACCGTTGCTCTGGTGTGGGGTTAATTTTCCCCTGTTTGAATAGGTGGAAAGGATTCACCATGGTGTTGGATGTGACAACAGTACTACTTTGTTCCCACCATGGCATGAGGGGTGGCAGAGACAACAGTGGGCCTCCAGGAGACACATGCACTCCTGGAGGTCCCTAGGCTCTTCTGCCTGTGTGGGGAAGAGGTAGGTTTCAGGTATCAGTTGCCCACTCAAAGGTGTCTGGGGACATCTGAGATGGTTTAGGTATCTCCAGCTGTCTCTCTGGCGAGTGAAGGTCTCTCATATATCCTGTATCATATCTATCAGCTGTGAAAAAAAAAAGAGGACTACCCTTATCTATGCTCCCTGTTCCTACTGCTTGGATAGCTGAGGGTCTGCTCAAGAACCAATTTCTGAACCCAGCTTGTTTACAGGACAACTTCCTAAAGCAAATCAAACCCCAAATGAATGTAAATGAAAACACTGGGTTATATCCTAGCAGAGGATGGGGCATGGCAGGTGCCTCCTGGGGAGCTCTGATCCACTGCAGTGAACATGGAACATTTGTGCAGGGGCAAGACCCGTATCAGCCTTTCCCATATGAGTCAATCCTGCTCACAAATCAAGGCCCAGCTTCAAGAGAAAAGACGGCTCACTGATTTCTGTGTTCTGCATTCATTTGTTTGCCAGCTCACTCCTCTGATTTGCATTTGCTCATGACAGACTGAACGATTGTATTACGTTAAAAACAACAGCAACATGATTGACTGCATTTTCATCTCTGGACTGGTTGTAGGCCATGGCCTCTCCTGAACTCCTCTGCTCAGCTGTAGGAAACTGCCTACAAGAAGGAACGGTGCCACGGCTGCCTCAACTCGGCACAACAACTGAGCCATGATAAGATGAAAAATAAAAAAAAGCTATTGCACAAAGCCATGGAACAAGCTTTTTCTGAAAAAAAGAAAAGAAAAAAGACAGATGATCCCCTGCCAGAAGGGGGTCTGTTTATTGCTCGTGTTATGAGAGCATGGTGAGACACGCTGCACTTGTCATCATAAAGTCAGAAGAAGAAGAGATGGTCCTTCTCCTGACTTTGCACACAGAGAAAGAGCACTAAAATTGCTGTTCTAGGCAGGACCATGGGTCCATCCAGATCTCCCACATCCCAGAGATGCCAGACCCTGGTTCCTTGCACAGCCAGTAGAGCTGCAGGTACCTCCAGGGGTGTTTTGAGCACATCCCCAGACACCTCTCTGCTAACTGAGCAGGCACCCACAGCCTGGCAGCACTTGGTAGCAGGAGTCAGACATGCTCACTCCTTCCTGAACACAGGTATATCTGAAGGACTGTGGAAGACTGAGCCCAGAGGCTGGAGCCTTATGTACCTACCAGGAATGCATTCACCAACCTTCACATCCCTCTCAGGTCCTCCAGATAGCTTCCAGACAAGAAGACAAACAGCAAAGAGGAAAAAAAGACATTTTTCATCTAAATTCCCAGAAAGGTAATTGAGACCCACACAGATTAAAAGCCAGTTCCAGAAAGATATTTCAGTGTCTACAGGGGAGCTAGACACTTTTCTGAATGGGTTCCTGACTCATCTACTGTGAAGGCTAGGGTTATCAGGAACTGAAGCCGAAAACATGACTCCAGTTCAGATCTTTAACAAAAGACCTTTTAATTTGGCATTTGAAAGGTCCCTATCTAAGAAAAATCCAATGAAGCCTCCTTCCCTCAGCTATTTTTAAAATTTATTTAGGGTTTTTCCTTCCAGCATCAAAACACGAACAACCTGAAAACAAAGCCAGTAAAGATGTTTACATGTGAGGGAGTATTCAGGGGGATGAAGATTTAGCAAAACTGACTCTGCTCCCTATGGAAGGCAGCAGACATCTTGTTCGCCTGCTAACAGCAGAGGAAACCGGCAGCTGGCCAGCTGTGAGACACAGCTGGCTCCCTGCTTCTCCCAGCATCCCAACCTCTCCTGGCAGAAAAGTTAACCCAAAGGATGCTGAGATTCCTCTGAGCACAGACAGCTGTGTTGAACAAAACCCTCTGAAAGCCAGCAATGCTCTACCAATTCCCACCCAAACCTCTTTGACCCAAAATGGGGATCTTGGATCTCCTCCACTCCTGGGGCTCCTTTCTCTATCTGAAACCTGCCCATATAGTGCTGGTCCCCACTTTTCTGGGAAATGCTCTCCCTCCCTTCCTCCTTAGTCATTAAGCTGGCTGGGGGGGAGTGTGAAGCACAGACAATGTTGGCTGTTTCTTTGGACTTTCCAGCTTCTGGTGGCCAAGTTAGAAATAATAGGAACATAACTTATATAATCAGACAGCTCATTTCATTAATGATTTAATGTGGGTTTTAAATCAGATGATCCTGCCCAGACACAAAATACAGTATTTATGGAGTAAAAACTTCCCATCTGTGCTGAAACCAGGAAGAGCAGAAACTTTTCTAATTTAAAAAGAAGCAAAGGGATGTCAAGAGGCTTGGGTTGGCTGTGGGGTTTGAACATAGATGTCCAGGTCAGTTCCTATCTCACTCAAACCAGTTTTGCCCAGTGCTAGGTGAAATGCAAAATGGCAAGAGCATGAGTCAACAGCCTCTGGGGCAGGAATTCACTGGAAAAAACACCTAGTTACAGGGATGGACATTTGGTTCCTTGTACTCAGACACAGCTTTACCTCTGAAAGGGGAAGAGAGTCACTAAAGCAGTTGTAGCTCCCCCTTTTCCTCCACATTAGTAACATGGAGCTACCCAATTTCCACCTCCAGGAGCAGCGACCCTATTTCCAGGGACTCTCATAACCATGGAAAGTGAAGACAAGTTCACACAATGAGCATGGGCTAAGAGGTGGCCACTGTGTGGCAAAGACAAATGTTGGCTTGGAGCTGCTCTGCTGGGTCATCACCACTTCATTAAGATGCTATAAATTAAACTGCAAAGAGCAAACACTGCTCTTGGGTGAGGGCAGAGGACCTGGAAACCAAATGTCAGTGGCTGGCATCATGGCTAGGTGTCACAGCAGGAACAACCTGGAGCCTCCAGAGCTAATAGGAGAGCCTTCCCTAATGCAATCTAGGTACCAAAGCTGGTGGGTGAGGTCAGACCGGTCTCTGTTACACCCATTCCCCTTCACACACTGCCAAAATCAGAGCAATACTCCTGCTTCTTAAATATGATCCCCATCCCCTTTCCAACCAGCACAGTGTGGGGAAAAGCTCTGACTTCATGAAGTAGAAGATGACTAATTAAGTGTCAAGGTCACTCCCAAGACTGGTTAATGAGTAACAGTTGGGGTGGAAGTGCCAGCAATCACTACTTCATTTTGGTCAACCTGGTACATGTTGGAAAGCAGACCTAGCAGAACATTTCTTGAGGCAGACCCAGGCTGTTTGGGTGCGGAGGGAAAATAAGGACTGGGAAGGGGCATAGGAGATCATTTCAAACTCCTGAAGTACGGTCTGAATTAAGCCTGATTTGGCTTGTCTGGGTTTTGGCGGCACACTTACTGGGCTGTAGTCACGGTAATAAAAAAAAAAAAACCCACCAGTGAAATGACTAATGCTCTGTACAGCTTTGGGAAAATAGGAAGCAGCTGTGGCTCTAGCCTTTCCAGGCTGAAAGGACTAATTATTGGGAATACTTGGACTGGCATTAGATGAGGTAAACCAGGGCTTTTGAATTGCTTTCATTGTCTCCTTTATAGTTGGGCATCTGGGCCCAAGTAGGTGCTATTTTTTGTTTGCAGAGAGGACAGCAGTTAACCCTTGTTTTGCCTAGAGGAATGAAATTCAGTGTTGAGATACCTTGTGTGGCTACTGCTCAGGACCGCTGTTCTGAACAGTGACTGTCCCTAGTGAGTGACTGTCCACAATACAGCACTCAACCAGTATAAACTGTCTTTTGTTTTCCTGTTGCAAGAGGAGAACAAGTGGTTTTCCGCTCACATGGAAATTATAGATAGGGAGGTCCAGCAATGAGGCTTGTCTTCTCTCTCATGTTGTCACACAGTCACATAATATCCTCCTTCAATTTTTTCGGCAGGAAGGCAAAGCTTGCATAGGTGAGAGCACCTGTGACATACATGTCCATATGCACATATGTGTGATGGTAACAGCTCCTATTCTCTTGCACAGTCACAGGAAGGGTTGCAATCAGAGAAGCTGAGTTGCATTACCCATGTTCGATGTGCTGGGACATGCTGAGGAGGCAGGGAATGGGAGATATGTTTGAGGGCGGCAAAAGAGGAAAAAGTATAACTCAGCTCACTCTTCTCCTCTAAGTCCTGTGAGGTCCAGGTTCAGAAGCTCAATGTGGCTGCTGTGCCAAGTAGAGGGCTCTGCACAGACGCACCCGGCTGACCACAGAGAACACTTTGGCCTTCTTGGAAAGAGCTGTTGCCTGGCAGCTAAAATTACGTAAAACAGGCCTTGAAATAAGATGCTATTTCTGATCACGGTGGGCAATTAAATATTGGAACAGCTTATTAGGGAAGCTGGCAGGCTTGTCTTTATTTAATGTCTTTGAAATGAGACGGCTAAATGTCCAGGATGTGCTCTCTGGGCTTGGCTCCTTGGGGCCTGTGACCACAAGCCACTCTTCAGGTGCTGCATTTCAGCAAGTTCCCATCAGTTTGGCATTAAGGCAATAGAATGGATTGACCCACACGTTCAGCCACTTACACCAGTCAGAAAAGATTCCCTATCCATGCTACCAAATCATCTGGG